TAATCTGTTAAAGACAAGACACTTCCTTTGCAAATTCTAAGCAAGCAGGTGACCTCACACAATAACTCTCACCCAGGCCCACGTGGATGGTTGGTAACAACTTCAAACCTGGCATATGTGGAAAGGACAACACTGCATTTCTAAGACCCTATGGCTGAAATATGAAAATATTATACTCCAAATAAGAGCAGCTGTGACTGAGATGAACAGTTCTCATCAAACCAGTGTGAAAATAAACATTATGCACAATGATCAGCCCTCAGTTGAGTGGAGGCTGGGAGGTGTGTATTGGTCCAAACTCACATCCAGCTGATGAATTATCAGTAAACATTTCTGTATTACCTACAGATTCTCAGACTTTTCAGTCCACGGTTATTTTTTCTGATTATTAACTGTTATTTTACACAAAATTCAAGAGGACTAAGAAACGTCAGGGTAGTTTTTACAAACAAAGAAAGGTAAAATTCTTCATTGTTTCATCCTCTCTCTGTCGTTTTCATCCAGAACTGAGGACTGAACCTGCTCATTTAACCAGGGCTCCATGGCAGTAATGGCCAAAGAAGGTTATTGAACACACAAACATTATCTACATCCATCTTATCAATAAATGTGTCATGAGCCAATTTGATGCAATTACATAGAGGTGCCCTTTCTACAATACCAGTAGATCACTTTGATGTGCAACTCGAACAATAATACTTTAAAATACTTTAAAATACCTTTAGGGGAAAAAAAAGAAAATCAAAACTCATTTTCAGGCATAAGGATATTCTCTGGATGGTCTCTACATATTCATTAAAGAGAAGGCTGATAGTTTAGCTTGAGAAAACCCAGCAGTAAAAAATCTCTCACGTGAATTATGTGGAATTAGGACTCAAATCTTGGATAAAATTAAGCCCCCCTCTAGCTATGGCCAATACTGTGCCTGCCCCAGTATCAGATGTTGCTGGACTTAATAATATTTTGTTTATTATTGCAAAATTATGCTTTGGTGACTGCACTTATAAAAGTGTAACCAGATCTTTTCTGCCTCATTTCTTCCTGTATCCTTATATCATGTTCAGTCTTATTTTTCTTCTCCCTCAGTTAAATGCTGCATGTTGATTTATTCCATTATGCAAGACAAGGTTATAAAAGGATTTCAACTCTTTTGAATTGAATCAAGGTCTGAGGAGTGGGTAAATCTAAATGAGGTGGAATTTTGTAGTAGATCATAATGGCAGCTTTCTGAGTGCTTCCTTTTATTTAGTGCTGGCTTATTTACTCAGGCTTAGAAACTCATAAACCTTGTAAATATGCATGTAAGTGTAATGAACTTCCCTAGACTGTTGTGGCTCAGCTTCTTTCAGTATATTTTATGTGCCATTTTATGTATTTCTTTGATTTTCTTCCTGTACTGATGTTGCAGACAACTAGGGCATTTGAGCTACCTGATGCTGTTGCTGCTTAAGTAATATGTTTATGTGATGGAACATTCTTTGGGAAGGTTCATGTTTAGCACTTTTCATGCAAGAATGATTTAGAAGCATCAGAAGTTTCCAGGAACTCTGAATGTTTGACTTGGCTGCCATCTGCTACTTTCTGGAGCCTGAAGAGGCAAGAGGTTCATCCTTTTCCAGGGTAAAATAGTCTGTGGAATTCATATCTATATTTGTGAGGCTGGCCAAATACACACTGGTGTACCACCTTTACAGAGGCTCTGCCCAAGCAGCTACACTGCTGATTTCATCTAAAACATCACAGTGCCTTGGAGAATCCAAGGAGTGTCATGTGAAAAGGAGGATACAGGGAGAGTGTTGGTTGTAGAACCAGCACGGTGGGGAAGGAACAGCACACGGATCACTAAGAAGGACTCAGAGCACCAACACATTGTTATTGCCTTTGCAGATCAAGTTTGGATCCCTAAAACATGACTTATGAACAGCACATAGCTCATTAGCCTAGGCAGGAGTCATTAGAATGATAGATGTATAAACATCTTTATATTCCCGAGCAAAGGAATATATTTTGCAATTCTCAGCACCTTTCAATGCATATGGAAATCATGCCATGGATGTGCACATCACTCCTGAGTGCCCACTCAGGGTGCTTCTGGCTCTCCAGGAAAAGATGTACATGTGCCCCTACATACAGAGGGCAAAAGCAAATGAGGATAACTACACTGCAACAAGCATTGGGATTTAACAGTGCTTAGATGAAAATGTGTATTTATTTTAAACTTAGATTTGTGACTTTGCTAATCAGAGTCCAAACTCCTGATTCTGTTGCACCTGGTTTGCATTATTCTTATAGGATGGAATTAGTGAAAAAAGTATCTTGAGTTTATTCTCCATAAAGGGAATTTGGAGTTGCAAATGGCCAGTTTAGGAGCACTTTCAAGCATTTCTATGTTCCAGCAATCTCCATGCTATGAAAGCCCCATAGGCTGCTAGACAGTTATATGTCTTTTTGTTCCTCTCTAATGAAGCCATAATAAGGCACCAAACCTCTCTGAGTCATTCCTCAAAAATGAAATACAGAAGCAGTGCTGTGTTGGGCTATGGCACTGTGTGATAAAGTGCTATAAATACAAATTACAGCAGCACCAACAGGGGGGTTTGTGCAAAAAGGTAGGAAATTCTACTTTTCTGTGAATGTTTTTGGTTTAGCTGCTGACAGACCTGAAACAGCTCTGGGGATTATCCAACATGAATTCCAGGAATAGTGTGGTAGATATTGAGCTCCCGTTTTCCAGCTCCTATGAAATTAATGGCAGTAGGAAAAGCAGAAGTCTCATTGTATTTAGAAAAATATTGGAAAGTGCATTTAAACTGCTTGTTTAGAAACAGGCCAGAGCAGCTGGAGTACAAGAATGTCATGATGACTCCTCGGGACTGACCATCATGGGCATTGCTGTCCGTGTTCCTCAGTGGGTGCAGTTTCTGTGGGCTGTGAAGTCATAAATATCTCCTGAAATAGGGATCAGAAGTTATGCTTTTAAGTTGTTTTTTTTCCAGTAAGCATGTGAAAATTCCCCATCAGGATTGCAGCTGTGTAATTCAGTATTTCTATCCATGATCCCTCCTGAGTGTGTCCCTTCCCTTTTCCCACACTAAATGTGCACACAGGAGCTGGGCCAGACTTCCCTGAGCTGCCTTGTGCAATCCCAGGTAATTCATCTCACTTTCCCTTTCCCTTTGAAAAATAAGGCTCTTTCAAAATCATTAGGTAATGACACTACTATAAAGGAAACACATCATATTTTAGCAGCAGGACTCCTCTGAGCAGTGGTTTAATGAGTGTGAAAATACAGGATTTGAAGTGACTGTGGCTTATAATACTGCAGGTAAATGCTACTTCCACTCACCCCACAAAAATTCTCGTAAAACTCCTAAATTCAATAGTGTAGACTAACAGAACAATTTTACTGTGTTTGCATCTTTTTTTCTGAACATTCTACCTGAATAAATTTACATTTTTTTTCATATTCCACTGTACACAAATTGTGTAGATAAAATCAATAAATTTTATTATGTTACAATGTGCAATACAATGTAAAATCAAAAACCAAAACAAATCAGGCCTCAACATAAATACATACTTCAGGATTTTTCTGGAAGCTATAAAAGATATATGAGATTAATTTCTTTGGCACAAATAAGGATCTGTAACCTAAGTTTCTTTAGCCAGTAATTATTTAATTTTACAATTGCAAGAGCTAGACATAACACTGACCATGTAGTGGATGGGTGAATTTGTGAAGTTCTTGAAATATGAAATTTGGAAAGTAATCCTTTGAATGTTATTTTTCTGTCCTCTCTGTGCCTGTTCTAGCATTCTCCTTTTCCATTTTCCAGGCTCACCAAACATCACAACCTTTATTAACTTTAATTATAAAGTTTATATGTCCCTGTGAAGGCCTTTACTGTAAACCAAGTCCTTATTAGTCAAATTTCTGAAAGAAATGAAAAATGCCTTGACAAGACCATCTTAAGCCACTGTTGCAAAGCCATTTAAGTCACGCTATTGTAAAGAAGCAAAGATCTGGAAAAAGTGATAACTCAACCCTCAGGAAACTATGGGCAAAAATAGAATTGAGCTGTAGTCCTTTATTGTGGGAAAGACTTTGACATTTATGCTGTTTATGACTGAAAAATTAGAGAGGGTACTGAAAATCTACAGCTTAGTGATGAAGTTAAAATAAACCAGCTGACACTATTCCTCTGGAGGACAGTGACCTTCCCCTTACCTGGAAAATGTTAATGCTTCTGGTTGAAACCAAATTTGTGACGGTAAGGGAGTGTAAGACTGGGTGTGTTGGATTGCTGGTACCTGAGACAGATGCCAGAGCAGTCAGAGGTGGATCTGGGGAATGACCAGAGATCCTGGGCACTGAGAGGGCAAAACTGAGCCTGGCACCACCTGAGCAGCCTGAATGAGAACTACAGGAGCTGCAGTCGTGGTGAGGAGGAAGGATTTCTTTGGTAGGATGTGTAGGTAGGACAAGGTGAGCTACCACTGGTGGGAATTCTTTCAATGGAGGAGGTTGTCAGAGGGCCTGTAAATATATGTATATGTATATATGCCATGAGGGTGGGAAGAAGACAAAAGCCTCTACAGACTTGCTGTTTTGTGCTGAGATCCCAGGTCTGGTTAAAGTTAGGACTCTGGGGAAGAGGTGTTAACAGCTACATGACACATTGCCACAGTCATTGTTGCTGCTCCCCATGTCTCCCTCACCACAGGAGCAGCATCGAGGCTGCTCAAAGGTCTGTCCTCAGCCTGTAGAGCAAGAAATATGAGGTGAAACTGTGCGCTGGTTGAGTCTTTCACATTGTACATACCTGAGAGAGAAGTAACAAGGTGTAAACCACTTAAAGGCTTTTTAAGGACAACAGAGACTGCGTGTCAACAGAAATTAGTTTGTATCATAATGTAATTGTGAAGTCTGAAGTCTTAGCAGATCCCCACACGCACAGAGATGCCACATCACACACACACAGAGGAAAAAGAGAAGAAGGAAGAAAAAAAAAAGCACCAGAAGAAAAAAAAAGCACCAAAAACAAAGCTCTCCTGGGGAGTTACCAGTTAGATGCAAGCAGGTGGATTTGTGTCATCCTGACAGGATCAAGGAAGGCAGCTCTGGCTCCACACTGCCAAGTCTTGTGTGGAGTAATGAGTTTTTTATATTAAAATAATCTCTTGATAGCCCTCCCTGGTCTCAGTAAATATTAGAGATATTAATAATAGTGTGGCAAACCGGTGCTTGTTTTGTAAGGTTAAATGTATTTGTGTTGTTAACAGAGTGCTTATTTTTCTTTACCTTTGCACAGGACTGAGGTTAAGACAAAAATAGATCCTGCTGCACCTTTTTGACCGTGACACTGTATGTTTTGTTCAGTTCTTTGGGATGTCTGAGATCTGTGGCAGTCAGCTTGTTCCTTTCAGCTTGTTCCTTTCAGCTTGTTCTTAATGCTAATTTTCCATTTCCTACGATTTTACTGGAAAGAGGTAAAAACCATGAGAAAAGCCTTCAGAATGTGGAACTTTAATTATTAGTACGCAATCTCGATTTAGAGGAGTTCTTTTAGCGTGTATTTTTCACAAAGCTGTGAACCTTGCTTAATTTTAGCAAGTCTGATGAACTAAAATAGATGTCCTCTGCTTGAAAGTCAGATGATTCAGTTGAACCACAGACCCTTCAGCTTTTCAGGGCTGCAGGGCTGTGGAGACTCTGCCTTTTAGAATGTTTGTTAATTGTTGAAATGGAAATCAAGTATGTTTGGCTTTTTTTTTTTTTCAATCTTGAAACATTTTTTACTGCAGTGTGCTTTGAGCTGCTGTTGAAAATCTGTGAAGGTATTACCTTAATGTTCATAGACAGTGATTTGGACCATGGAGTCAAGGAATTGTTACATATTTGGCCCATGCCTTGTGCAATATCTGTGCTGCATTGCAATTCCAGCCCCTGACAGACACTGATAAGATGTGGACAGGGCTTTGGGTTACTCTCACTCGCTGGGGAGATTTTCTCACAAGGAGAAAACAAAAGGAGAACCAGGATTTGGAAAAAAAAATCTATCCAGTTTGAAACATCCCTAGAGCCAATCATGCCATGTTTGAAACCTTCCATTCCTCCAAGCTGTCAAAAATCTGGCTTTCAGTGTCTGTGGCCTGATTTTCTGACTGTTTGTCCTGCAAACTAGCACAGGAACTGAATGTTTAGCACATCTTAAAGTCATTCTGGGACTTGCTACTTGTTTATTTGGGTATGTGCCTGGAGAATGGCAGCAGATGATTTGCAATCCAAACCTATCAGAAGTTGGGATGAAAATTGTCACTTTTGGTTCTACTATCATTATTCTAATTATGCATCCCTTGAAACTTAGAACAATGGCATTTTAAGCTCCAACCAGGTCTTCAGTGGGGAAAATCATTCCAATTTGGAAGGAAAAAGAAAGGAAAAATTGTTACAAAAAAAATGTCTGGCTCTCTAAAAGAGAGAGAGAGAACACAAATGTGAGGCTGAATGGATGCACATTCCACCACACATGCAAAGCCTCTTCCAGGGCTTTGTTCATGTTTGAATCTGGCTCTGGTTCTCCCAGCAGATTTGTCATTTGGACCCCACATTTGTGGCACATTTGTAGTCTCAGGCCTTTAATGAAAGAACACTTTGGAATCAGATATCTGCAAAACATTGTGAAGGGAAAAGATTATTTACAAACATGACTTCAGAATATAGAATAGAACGTTTTCTATACAAAATAAAGTGTCACCCTGTTGGAAATCTTTCAAGGAAACCTCATCTTATCTGTTTTGTTCTGTGGAGATGATTCAGTGTCTGTGGTTACATCACAAGACAATGTGGCTTCCACTGAATTTGTAGGGACAATCTATTTTGAGACACTGAATGAAATCTGCTGTGTGTGGGTAGAGTCAGTCTATCCAGATGAAAATTAAAGGAAGTTTCAGCTGACTTTAGTGGAATGCTTTAAGGGAAAAGGTGATATCAAAGAGAAATCTTCAGAACACAAATTTTGGGTCCATCAGTATAGGAATTCTAGGGAAAAATACTGGGGAGGAGCATTTAGCCAGAGGTGTAACTGGGTTTACAGCAGATACATGATGTGTAATCCTTTATTCCCAATACAGCTGGAAACTTGGAGAGCCTGGATTGCACACGTGCTCTTAAATGGTGCATAAAAATGAAGGGTGCACATAGAATATTGGGTTTTGTGTGCATTTCATTATTACACATTGTGGTTTTACCATATACAGAACAAGCTGAATGTTACCTCCCAAACTGCAACTATTTCAAGATAAATATTTTCATTGATAATAAGTTTTCAAAGACAGTTTTCATGACATATAATCACACTGCTAATTTTTCAAGCACAGATAGCTAAATCTAAAGCCTGCTCTATTTGTTTTGCTTTTTAATAAAGGTAAAATTTTGGTTCCTAAACCAGCTTTCACACACTGAAATAAGATATCACTTGGATTGTTCTCTGAAGCACCTGGTGCAGATATTATAAAACAAAAGTTAAACTTTATAGAGAAGTAAATCTAATTTTCTGTTACTCAAAAGTGCATACACACTTCTCTAGTTCTAATTTTTTTAATTCTACTCTGTGTTTATCCTTTAAGAACATTTTAGCCTATAAAAGCACAGGAAAAGCAAGGTTCTAATTGGCTGAGGTAGCACAAACCACAGAATACTGAGCTAATTTCATTCCTCCCTGACACACAAGCACCTGTGATTCCTCCTCCACTTGTTGGTGTTTGGGTGCACCTGCCTGGAGTTGTGTTCCATGGTAATACCTTTAACCAAAATCATATTTTGAATTTGCTAATAGCACTCATTGTAATTACTGTGTAATACTTAATTGGCATTCATGTAATTATTATTTTAAACCACTTTACATGTTCTGATTTGAATTTTTAATTTAGAAAACACATATTCAGTCCTTCGATCTGATTCCCTCTGGATGGCTGTGGATGGAACATACATTTTAATGTGTCAGGTTATTTGTATGCAACAGGATTTTGCCATTCTAAACTCCTGAATCTATGCTAGTATTTATATGTGTAAAGTTACTGGCAGTCCAAGGTCATATATTTTAATCTCTAAAACCTTTGGTTGCTCACACAGTAAAACTATTTAGATTTGAGGTTCTTTAATAAAATACATACAAAATAATTTGTCTTACACAGTATCTTAACTGCAAGTTACATTTCTATGCATTTTTAAATGCATGCTGTTAATAAAAATATCTAGCTGTGCATATATATAATTTTAATTACTTATTCTTCATTTCAGAAAAATAAGTATCTTTACATTGAATTTAGAAGTCACCTTGCAGAGATTAAAAGCCAGCTGTATGGACAGGATGCTAGGAAGTCATTAAACAGGTATGATTTAAAGAGGACTGGATAAACTTTTTACCTACTGTGGCCTCTATGAGCCTGTACCTTCTGATACTGCAATATTAATTTTCTTTAAAAGTATGGGGTGTCAACTGCACCCAAGGCCTGGGGAGGTGTTTCTCTCAGGAATAATTACAGTCCTGCTGTCCTGGCACATTGGCTTCAGTGAGAAACAGTATTATTCTGAAACACCACCAGGATCTTATCTAGAGGCACCAAGCCTGTCCAGTGTATCAAATAATAAGGCAGACACTATTTTAACACAGCTTTACTTTATTCAGTCCATCTGCAAATGTTATAGAAAGGAGTGATATAATTATCTGTATTCTGTTACTGAAAGGCTAAGTGTGTCTCATGAAGAAAATCTCAAAAAGATTTTAATTAAGTTAAAACTAAAATTAAGAGCTGGAGTATAGAAAATGTCCTAAAGAATCTTTAATATCAAAATGAGCTCATAGCATCTTCTAAAATATAAGTTAGTAGAGGCAAGTTAATATTCCTTCAGTGGAGAAAATGAAAACAGAATTGTACATTTAGTTTTAGAGGTCTTGAATACTTGGCTCTTTTCAAGTCCTGTTTCCTTTCTGTCTGTCCCTCAAGCAGACCATGAATGAGTGAAGTCTCTGTGCAGCTCTGCCTTTAATGTCTCTCAGAAAACAGGGTGTCCTTATTGCTGAGAAACTCACAGATCTCCTGATGAAAAAGAACATCATCCTTACGGGAGGTGCTGTTGAATCTGGTACCGTGGGAGGTAGTTTCCTTACAGCAATGTGTAAATTCAGTTTATTAAACTTAACTCTGGAAAAACACCTTCCCTGTCCCCTTGTGGCATCTCAGAGCAGCAAGTGCCCTGTTACCATTATCCCCTCACCGTGGGTGTCCCCATCAGCAATCCTGTAATGCCACAGAAAGGGAATCACGCTGGCAGGAATTACTAAGGCGCTGTTTGCTGCAGGACAAGTTTGTAGATCTTTTGTTTGTGATTTGGAAAACTTGGTGAGCGCCTGCAGCTTGTCAGACGCCAAATGACACACGAGCCCCAGCGGCCAGGTAATGACCGACCCTTCCAGGGGCTTCAGTCCGAGCCTGCATTTGTGCCATGTTTCTTCCCAAAGCCTGTGTAGGTGCCTCACAGTTGGTGCTTCACACACCATTCCCAGGTCAGGGTTAAGGTTTTCAAAGCAAAGCACACACATGGCACAGATCTGTGCCTCTGTGCCCAGGAAGGGGCATTGCTCCTGCCCAGCTTTCACCCCTCCGGTTCCTCCGGCTTTCTCTTCATCCTGTCCCTGCTGCTCCCGCCTGAACATCTGCCTGTAAAACTAAGTTTTTCTTTTCCTTTTTTCCCCTAACCTTGATGAATGGCTTATATCTCAACACAGAAGCTCACCTTTCTCTAAACTGCAAATGATTGATAGGGCAGGAATAGCAGTGGAACAGGTTCTGTGTCCTGGCAGCCTCTGCTGCTGCCGGGGCTTCCCTCCAGGGACTGGCAGGAGCCTCATTCCGTGCAGGAATTTAAAGCCCTACCAAGCCAGTGAGAAACCGGGTGGGATTTTGAAACTCGTACTGCACAGTCTGAATATCCTCTAAAAACAGCAAGCCCAGAGTGCTCTGCTGATTTTCTGTCGTGGAACACTTTGAAGGGCAAATATTCCTTTTTGTTTTGCGCGGGTGGTATAATTTTGATGGAAGAACTCAGCACCATCAAATACAAGTTCACATGCTTGTATTTGTTTTATATGTTAAGAAAGAAGATGAAAGACCATGAATATACTTGGTTCAGAAACATTAATTATTTCTACATCTGTATATGCTTTGATGCACATGCTACATAATTCTATAATTATTGATAGTTCTGTAATATAGAATATTAATTCTGTTCTTGCTCTACTATCATTTAAAAATTCCATTTTCCCTTAGCCTGTTCCCTGTACATTTTTATTATTCAAGTGAATGTAACAATGACCTTTTTGAAAGAATGTCTAGTTATATTAGTTACACTTTTAAATATAATGAGTTCTTAAGGCCAGGTTTTCAAGTCGTGTGTCAAGGTGGTTCCACTACAGTCAGGGGATTTGTGCCAGATTACACCTACAGAAAATCTGAATGTAAAGCTGAAGACAGTCGTTTATTCAAATTTGTATGTCTAAATTTAGGCAGAAAAGGGGAAAAAATCAAAGGTGACTGAAAGAGAATAGATGTCTAAGTGATACGACTTTAACAGGTTCCTGTGATGACACAGATAGAAATGTGCTGGGAGAAGTTAATGGCTTTGAAAAGTAAAGACCAAAAGTACAGTAATATCCTTGAAAGTGCTGAATTCATGAGTCAACATTTAAAAGGGAGCCTGTCTTCCCACTAAATAGCTTTTCAACTTCTTTCTTATCATAGTAGTCCTTAATTAAAATAGTTCAAAGGAGTTGGGTCATAAAACTCCATTGGTTTTTTTTTGTGCTAAAAAGAATTTCTGCACTCAGCAGACTTCATCAGTTCTCAAAACTTAACAGTTGAGTCAATAGTCTCCTTTTCACTCTGGTGAACTACACACTGAGAATGCCATAAGCAATTATTTAATCTTAGTAACTCGGGGTTAGTTCAGGACCGCAGTGGTCTAATTAAAAAGTGCTTCAGTGTATCATTGATTTCTTGCTATGACGACAAAGTCCTGCTTAATTCTGCTTTCCTCTGAAACGAGTGCTGCTGCCAGCCAAGCTTGCTGCAGGAACACCGAGGGGCAGGGAGAGGCAAACGTGACCATCACTGGTTTGTTGGGGCAGAGAGGGAAGGGAAGAATCAAGAAAGATCAGAAAACGGAGAGGAGAATTTTAACTCGCGGTGGCAAAAAAGGTCTATGATATTGGTTTAAATACCTGTTCAGTCAGCCAGTCTGAGGAAAATCTGAAGGATGGGTCGCTGTTTTCTCAAGATAAAGCTTTGCAGCAAGTGTTGCATTGCCAGCACCAGGCGTTGGGCTTCAGTGATCTATTCACTGGTCAAAACATCAACATCCCAAATTCATTGCACTGCCTCAGGAATGACCTCCTCTTACCCTGCTTTCTGTAGTTTGGAGTTTCATTCATTTGTCATCTTGCAATCCTGTTTCTGGTTTAAATTTCCACTTCTGTTGAAGATATAAGCCCAAGTAGTAGAGTGAAAAATCCCATAACCTCATTCATAACTGTCATGACCTTTAATTCAGAAGTCACAGCTCTGGAATAGCTGCAGTTAATAGTCTTTTTAAGAGCTTTATTCATTCTTTGGCTAAAAATTCGTACAGCAATGTTGATTGGGGAATTGATAAGACTCGTGGAAAGTGAGTTGGGAAACAGAACAAGAAATCTCAAAATTTTAGTCTTTTTATTATTATTATTTCAGTTCAGCTGTCCTGTTAGCCTGCTTCTTGTTCCAGTTCTGCTCTGTGGTTTTGTGCTTTATTGTATTAGTTATTAGCTTGTAGAACTCTCAGTAAAGTATAAGATGTAGGAAAACTGAATGATAACAACAACAGTGTCAAGCTAATCAGATGAAATATTTTGCTTTTTAAACATTTATATTTCAGGGAAATATATTCTCCACATGAAGCTCCCTCTCACCTGAATACTCTTGCTCATTCACCATTAAAACAGTTTCCCTAGAAGAAAAACTCAACTGACAGTCTTTATTCTGCTACCATTAATGAAAAATAAGATGGGAAAGCCTACAGTCAGTTCTACTAAACTGCTGTGAGCAATTGTTAGGGGGAGGCTGTAAAAATCCCACTCTGATTGTCTTTGCATTTATGGACCTTTTCCAATCAGGGAACCAGCTCATGCAGAACACAACCTTCCTACTGCTTTGGAGTCAGATCTGTGCCTGCCCCATTATAAACCAAATTAGCCATTTTCTGCAGGCTGCAATAAACTCCAGCTCTTTCATCCCAGAGAATTTCAGACAGTCGAGTACAGGAACAACTGACAAAGTGTAAAACTAAATTAAGAGCTCAACTCCCCTTATCTTCTCAAAATTCCTGTCTTGGTATTTCAAATTCTATTTGCACCCAAACCAGCTCCACTGTTGAAGGAATGGCATCTGTCAAAGTCCGTGCCATCAGTGTGATGTGCCAGTAAACCCCTTATATTTTTGCATCTTTTCCCACATACCAGGAATTGCTTTGACATGTTGAAACAAATGCCACCAAATCCATTTGCACAAATGTTGGTTGTGCTCAAATTCTCAGCACACTTCTGCTTCTTGGCTTTTCTACAGTGATACATTAAATTCATCGTCACATCCACAGAGTAAGAAGATTATCCAACTTCTATAAACTGATCTGAATGAAGCAACAGTGAATTCAGGATCTCTCACTTGTGTATATATTCACTCCCTCCCCAGTCCTTTAACACTCCTGCATAGCTGGATTTCTCTCAGGGAATCAATAATAAAGGCAAATGCTTCAGAATCATCTGGTTTGGGAAGAAAGCTGCTCCCTCAGAGCCTCACTATATGCTGGGACTTTCTTCTTAAGCAAAAAAGTATGGCTGCTGTAGTTCTTGTATTTCCCATGTTTCCAGGGAATTGATTTGAAGATTTTAAGAGCTCCTTTCTTGCTCCTGGCTCACCTTGTCAGGCTGCTTAACTCCACAGGACTGTGGAGCCTCTTATCATCTCTTAGCCCTAAGAATTCAGTCAAAGCCCTGCTTCCAGCTTCCCACCAGCTGGCTCCTGCAGCGATGCCCAAAGTCACCACTACCCTCAGATTCAGCCCTTTCATGGTTTCTTACAGAGCTCTCAAAGAGAAAAAAAAAAAAAAAAAGAAAAGAAAAAATCTCATTATATTGTTGCTAAGTCCATAATGTTCCAAATTGTACTGACTCTTTGGTCAGAGTTCAGTGCAACAAACCGTGCAGGGAATATTTTTTGAATCAGATAAAGATTTGGGAAACACATTACATACTGCTTGTGATTTTGAAACACAGTGAATGCTCTAAAATGTTTTTTCTTCA